ACATCATAAAATCAAATAAGCATCCATCCCCCCGAGTGCTACGTATCAGAGTGACGACACCAACAAGCTACTAAGTCTCTACTCCTCGTTACCTGCACGTTACCAGTATAAAGGCAACGGCAAAACAAATAAAGGGGTGAGACATCGAATAATATAAATAATATTATAATAATTAATATATTAAACAAGAACATTATGAATTTCATTGCTTCTCAACAACACACAACAATCAATAAACATTCACAATTATCACTAGCGATTTAAAATACAATTTGATGTGACACAACTGTACATATGCATGTGGTACCAACAGGGCTTCAGCCCTCTTCACTAATTGCCAATTAATAGAGGCACAAGGCATAAGCCTACTTCACAAATCCGCCAATATAGGCCTTCACAAATGCAAATGTATGAAACTCATGTAACATACAACGCCACATACATATCATTCACCACAAACTTCATTACGAGGCATTCGCCTATATCCTTGCATCACTGGAAATAAGCCTAACACTTCACATATTCAATCATATAACCACTTTACCAATAAGAAAACACCAAACAACCAATTTTGTACTTTAATCATATAGTACACACGTTTATTATAATTCCATAAACCGAACGAATCGGCTTAATTCATTTCTACCTGCAAAACAAAGTTTTTCAATAAAATAACTCAATTATAATTATCTACTATTTTATATTAGTTACCCTGTAAAATTATACTTAATTCCGGACAACTAATTATATCGCTTAATTCGACTAATTCGACTAATTCGACCAAACAAAACTGTTTTCAACCCTATACTATTATGCTATTTACTAAGCCTTCTGCTATTATCCTCTATCACATAAAACAACTCTACCAAAGTATGCTATTCTGCTAATGTTCCTTCTGCTATAACATGCTACTGATAAAAATAGTTCTATTTTATTCCCTAACTTAATGCTTTTATATTAATGAAACGCTACGCTAAATTATGTAGGCTACTGATAATATATTGTTAAGATACATGAAAAGTGCCTCCAATCCACAACCAGTGCCAAACGACACTCTCCCTCAACAACAAGAACAAGTGTCGAACGACACTCCCCTCTCTCCCCAAAGATGTCGACCGTCAGCCTCTACCAATAACAACACCTTGCCGATCGTCAATGCCTTCCTCCTCAAAGGTGCCGACCGGCATCCAACAAGCAGGCCCTGATGATTGTCATCCAATTCCAACAACAACAACCTGTCGATCATCATGCCCCCAGTTACTTCTCCAATTTCTTTCATTCCCTTGCCCAGTTTCGTTACCGTTTCAGCGTAAACCCAATATTCAATCCAATTAGCACAACGAATAAAATATACAACATGATACTCAATAAAATTCCTGTTACTTTTTCCTATCAATTATTATTATAAGCATGAACAAAATCCAATTGATCATCCAATTTCAAAAAATGCAGCAATGAATCTAATACTCTAAACCCCAATCCCACATACCAACCATCATATTCCCGGTTATAAAATCCGAACCCCACCCTTACCTTTTGGTTTTCCAGTCGGTCAAATTCTCCGGTTGAAATTGCAACTGGTTTGACGGCAACTTCTCAATTTTCTTGCCCCCCACTTGGTGCCTCCAAAACCTTGTTTCTTCTACTGCTACGTGATAATTGTTTTTCCTTTAGTTGCTAGCTTCTATATATCATAACCTAATATAATAATAGGTCTACTAGTAACTTTAATGAGCCTATTAATTCTATTCCTAATCTTGCTATTTCACACACCCCACCTGACCCAACTAATAAAATAACATTCTACTAAAATCAACATTATTTCCAATATTAATTTCTCTTGACTAAATTGACTAATTATTCCATTATCAATTCTAACAATATATATTTAATCCAATAATGCTCCTTATAATTATTCCGATAATTCCTTTTTCGACTAAATTCCAACAATTAAATCCTCAGTAATTCATTTAAATAATTTAATGAATTTCCGGGTGTCACATGACACATGGTTCGCCCCTTTATTATCAAATATTTTGAGAAGTGATTAGAAAAAAAGTTTTAGTTTTAAATATGCAAAAAGGGAATAAAAATTCTAAGGAAGACTAGAGATCCTAATGTGATCATGTACAATGGTCCTAGAGTTAGGATGACAAAGGGGAAAATCTACCTAGTATTAACATACAAAGATAGATCTAAGGGAGAGGATAGCAATCCTATAGGGAATATGCACTGAGAGTGAAGTCGTTATTTCAATTCTAATTTAGTGACACATCGATCAAAAATAAATAAAGAAAAACAATAAAGCATCAAAAGAAATGGCTTAAAATCCAATCAATTCCTACATTGTAGGACTTTAGATAATCAATATTTCCTACTTCGAGGTAGGGCTTTAAATCCAACATAAATCTCCTACTTTGAGGTAGATCTTTAAACAAACAAAAATTGCCTTCTTCGAGGTAAATCTTTAAACAATCAGAAATTACCTAATTTGTGGTAGGACTTTAAACAATCTGAAATTTCCTACTTCGAGGTAGGACTTTAAACAAACTATGCTATATCAGAAACATGGTTTCACAGTGCCTACAAGGGTTGGTCTTCAGTCATGCATCTCTATCCTACTTCTCATGGCAAGATTAATTGAAAATAATGCAAGGATGAGATGGTAAAGAGATCTCAAGTGATACCAAACAGAAGAGGTCCATCGCCTTTTCAACGTGCGCTAAACTCAAGAATCCTTGCAGAAGCTTCACCAACAAGCAACCGAATTAACATTCAAATACAAAAAAAAATTGCGTCAATGATCAATGTCGAGTAAGAATAAATCACAAGTAGAAAGAGCGTCAGAGAAAACCAATAGCACAGAGAAAACTACCCAGAGTCTAAGATAGGGTCTAAGAGTAAGCTACGAGATCAAAATAAGGTGAATCGAAAGTCACTAAATATTGAACCTTATTAAGTAATTTTAGAATAGATTCATGTAGGAATTAACTCTAAGAGGTCAAACAAAATATTTGTGTTCAAACGCGTTCGAGAATGAAATCGAATTCAAAGTTCAAAATCGCAACACAATGATAAAAATAGAAACACAATTTGAATTTATTTACAAGCAAATTAAATAAAATATAAAGCCAAAAGTGTTATGTCTAATTGTATTTTTACATTATTAAATATTAAATCAAAGTAATAAAATAATACAGTAAAAAAGTAGATGACAAAGCATCGACGTAAGAGAAAATGAATGCTTGCATCAAATTACATGTATTAGTAACCAAATTTCACAATTAGAAATCACTATACATACATAACCAAGCAAGAACATGAATCAAATCACAATTGACATCAACTTTTGAATTAACAAGAGGCATGGTAAGACAATTACAACAAAAAGTCCAAGGAGAATTTAAAATTTTCCGACATACTTTAAACCATATTAGGAGCACAATTTCTCATTCTAAAAATCAAAACCAAAGTCACATAGAACTAAACTCGTGGTGTACACCAATAAAAATTCACAAATGAGCAAAAAAACAAGAATTAAATCAAGATTTTATCATTCGAATTAATATCCAGACAGAAACAAACAATGATAAACTAGTGCTTAAAATTCATTTCAAATAAGTTCGAGACAAGCGAAAATAAGCTCAACACCAAAGTCAAAAGAAATCTCAATCAAATTAATTTATTGGTCAAAACCAATGCTCAAAATTGTCATTAAAAACAAGTTTAAATAGCACAAACTCAAATTATGACTCAATTCAATTTCAAAACATGAAAATTAAACTCTGAAACAAGTTTTAATCACTTAAATCACATTCAGAGCAACAACTACACATGAATCAAAAGTGCTAGAAACTCATCTCAATGAAATTTCAAATCAAGAGAGGATGATCTTAATAGGCAACATTCAAAGAAATTTTAACCTTTTTAAATAATATTGGTGCTTTTAAATAATACCTATTAAAATAATAAATATTTTAATAATATTGATTAGAATATGTTTTTTTTTATGTTGTTGGTGCTATTTAAAATTTAAATAAATGATTTTTTTTTTAAATTATATTATTTATTAAAGATATATTTTTATTATTTGTCTCAAACCTCTAAAATGTCACGATCGTCCCGATGGAAAGTATTATACATCTAATAGTATATAGAGGATGTTATAATAAAAAGTTAAGAGCACATCTAACTTGTTTAATAATGTAAAGTGTTATGCGCTTGTTAGTTTGGTAGGTTCGGTTGGCTGGATCTTTACATCTCTTGTAATAATTGTATTTTGAATTAAGTTAAAGTCACTTTGATTCAAAAAATAATAATAATAAATTTTTTAGACGACATAAGAAAAAAATATTAATTTTTACTTTCGATAATTATATTTAATGTTTTGTTAACAATTGAAAATTATATTTTCACAATTCTTATTTTACAAAACTGTCAAAACCACAGTGAATTGAAAGTTAAACGCATACTACTCTATTAGTCTCAAAATATATCTTATTTCATATGTGCCGTTTTTAAGAAAAGTTAAACATATGTTAATTTTTATGATAAGATAGATATCATTTAATAAAATAAGTTTATTAATGTTGTTAATTAAGAATTGAGATTAATTCATAAAATATTTTATACATTCAATACATCACAACCATCTATAAAATTTTAATTGTTATGATTTATTGAAATTATAAAAATTTTTTACACTATTAATATATTTCAATTAAATTGTTGAAAATTATATTAAATTTACTGGATTTGTAGTTAGACAGAAATATTTGATTGCTAGGTTGGGGCTTGTATCCCGATATCTACTTAATCATCTATATTCAAAATAGGTGAAGTTCTGATTATCATAATAATAAAAGCTAAGCAATTGTAGTTATTTGAATAATTAAGTAAACAAATATAAATAAATAAATGATTAATTTACAAATAAAATATTTGTTTAAAGATAGAAAAATAGTATTTTATTGTCTTAATTTCAATTAAGTAGAAACTCATCAACTGTAATACACACAAGTGCAAATATTCTGATCAAATAGTTTTACACAGACCCCAAAACTCGTGTTAGGATGTTTAGTTTGACACTCTTTCTTACACCATTCTTCATTATGTTCATTAGTGCAAACTCCCAACCCAATAAGGCAAGGAGGTGCTGCTATTGTTGGTGGTGGTCGTTCGAAACTACAAGTGCATAAGTTTAAGAACGAGCATGATGCTTTTAAAACACGAACACCACCTCCATAAGAATTACACCGTGTAGTACAATCTTCTGCCTCACCACATTTACCCGCAATTTGTGAGCATTCACCACATTCTATCTCGTTAATTTGAACTGTGGTAAAAAATGAGAAAAATAAGTTAGATTTACTATTTAACTACATTGATAATTCTGACAAGATTATTATTACCTGCAAGAATTAAAACCAAGATGGCAAAGAAACAAAAAGACTTTGACATTTGGTTCGGCGTTACACTATAATACTAATTTGCAAGTTTTTTCTTTTTTTTTTGGTTTTTACTACAACGAAGATGTTGGTATTTATAAGAAAAATCACTGAGACTAGGATAAAGGACTCTAAAGCATAGACACTTTAATGAGAGATATTTTAAATGTTATTTTCGTGAATAGGAAATCAAATATTTAAGATGATTTTATTTTAAATGATAAGTGTTTGACTTTGTAATTACGATATCATTGTCAAAGAAATTATTCCTAATATTCCACACATTTAAAAGAAAACTCTAAATGCCACACTTTTGACCAAAATATAATAAAGTGATTGAAGAAACCAACCAATGGGCGAAAGTGGAGATTTGGTTTTGGATGATTTCATGCATTCAAATGCATTCTTTTTTCTAATTAAGAGTCTACTTGGTAACACCTAAAAGATACTACTCTTTAAGCTTTTTAACTCACATTATTAAAAAATTTAATTTCATAATTGTTTTTTAGTTTGTAATTTGTAGTTTTTTTATTATTTTATATTTTTTTAAAAGCTATTTGAATTAGTTTTTGAGTTTTTATTTTGATTTTTATTATTTTATTTAAAGATCATTTTTATCCTTTTACAATTTATTATAATTAAATAAATATGACTTGAATGCATGAATATTAAAAAAAATTAAATTTTATATTTAAAAAATCATGAATCTTTTACTGCAATATTTACAACTCACTTCTACTTCATCAATCATCTTTTTTGGATGAATATATATACACGCTAAACTCTCTTAAAAAATTTAATATTATTCTGTTTAGGATAAAGATCAAACTTAAAATCTCTGATTAAATTTGAAAAAAATTTCACCATCTCATTCAAGTACTCTTGAGATAATTGTTACACCCTTTATTAATCTTTGATCTTTGATGTAATGGTTATTAATTGTCCATGCTTAATGCTCATAGCATAGCTATTAAAATCGTTTCCTCTTAATTTCGTAATACATAACTTTTATAAATTAAAATATTTTTCTCTTTTTCAATTAATTCTTTATATATATATATATATATATATATATATATATATATATATATATATATATATATATATATATATATATATATATATATATATATATATATATATATATATATATATATATATATATATATATATATATATATATATATATATATATAACCATGATTCTAAATATTTAAAAATAAAATCATAATTGATAATAAAAAAATGGGTTAATCATTCTTTTGGTCTCTGTAATATTGAAAGAGTTTTGTTTTATCCTTATAATATTAAAATTATAGATTTCATCTCTATAATATTAAAAGAGTTTGATTTTAATCCCTATAATATTTTTAGTGATGATTTATGCATTTTAGAGACGGATTGTAGATTTAGGATATGAATTTTTATCTTCTAAGATATTTAAAATTATAGATTTCATCTCTATAATATTAAAAGAGTTTGATTTTAATCCCTATAATATTTTTAGTGATGATTTATGCATTTTAGAGACGGATTGTAGATTTAGGATATGAATTTTTATCTTCTAAGATATTTTTAGTGTCTGCTTAAGGGATTTAGTGACATAGTCTAAGATTTAGTGATGATCAATATATTCGTCAATAAATATCAAAAATGGTTACTAAATCCACAATCTGTCACTAAATTCAATAATTTGTCACTAAATCCCATAAATCGTCATTAAATTCCTGCAACTATCACTTAATCCTGTAATCCGTCACAAAAATCTCATAAACCATAGCCAAAGGTGTTTTAGAAGATGAAGATTCATTTTCTAAACTCAGAATCCGTCACTAAAATGCATAAACCGTCACAAAAAATATTACATTGACTAAAACCAAACTTTCTTAATATTACATAGATGAAATCTAAACTTTTAATATTACATGACCTAAAACCAAACTCTTTCAATATTACACGGACCAAAAGAATGATTAACCCTAAAATAAACTTTGTTTTAAAATGAGATAAAATTTATCAAATCTAGTATCCAATTTTTATTTATTATTCAATTTACAACTGAATTGTTATACACTCATTATTTTTATTTTTTATTTTTTATTTTTTATATGATTTTATACTTTTAAAAGCTTAACAAATTTTATTTTACTATAATTGAAGAGAATACAATTTACTTAATAAATAATAAAATAATAAAATAAGTTTAAAATTGAGAAGAAAGATTTGTTATTAAAATAATTTATTTTTAAAAATATTAAAAATCACCTTTATCTTAAGATAATATTAATAAAAATTGTTAGCAAAATTAGAGAAAGCTATTTTAATTTAGTAAAATGAAATTTATTTATTACTTAAAGTGGAAGGTATTTTATAAAGTAAAAATATTTTGTTATCACCTCTCATAACTAAGGGGATTCTTATTTAGAATATGGTTTTTTAATATTTTCTATGCATTAAAAATATCAATATTTTTAATATTTTTAATATTTGGAATGTATATTTAGAAAAACAATATCTTTCAAACATGAAATGTATTTTTTTTTGTAAAAAATGTTTCCTTTGAATTTGGAATAAAATTTACTATATTTTATTCTATTTTTTTTACAATAAATCTTTTTATATTCTATTAAATTAAACTATAAAATTTTATAGAATTTAAAATAGATTAAAAAGTTACATTAAAAATAAAATTAAGATTAATGAGTTTATAATAACTAAATTGTGAATTGAAAAAAAATATATAAAGTGAACAATGAGATAAGTTTTCTTTCATTCTAAAATAGATTTCAATTTATATATTAAAAAATTATTTTCAAATAATAACCATATTATTATATTCTAATTTTTTTTTTCTATTTAATTTGTGTATACATAATTTTAATGTTATTTCGTACTCTTTTTAAAAATGTATCACTTTTATTGTTAAAAAAAATAGAAACTATTTTTTATTTAGAATGTTGAGTTTTTCAAAATTAATATTTTGAATGATATTTTTAATAAAAAAATATGAAGAGATATGTGAATTGTTTGAAAAAGAGTGAGAAAACTATTTTATTTTTATAAAATATTTTATTAGCAACTGTGGTCTAAGATGTTAACATTTTATTACGATAATTATTATCAATTGCGGGGAAAGATTTATATATATATATATATATATATATATATATATATATATATATATATATATATATATATATATATATATATATATATATATATATATATATATATATATATATATATATATATATATATATATATATATATATATATATATATATATATATATATATATATATATATATATATATATATATATATATATATATATATATATATATATATATATATATATATATATATATATATATATATATATATATATATAATGTAAAGTTATACTTTAATTGATGATAATTAATCTTTTAAAAAAGTCGTATATTTATTGATTGGTTTTTATTTTGCTGGTAGGAAATTTTTTTATCTCATGGAGATATTGCATAGTAATAATAATAACTAAAAATACTAAATAAATTGAATGGGATTTTAAAATATAGTAATGAAATTTTTAACAATAAAAAATAAAAGTTAAATAAGAAAAAAAGAATTCATATACTAAAATAAAATTGAAAGGTTAAATTACACCAATTTTTTGTTGGAATTTAACTTTAATATTAAATTCTTTAAGAGTAAGATAACCAAAATTTATAGTCTTAATAAAAACAATAGTCTATTAAGAGTGAAGGTAAATACACAACAAACAAAAAGAAGATAAATGTCAAGAACACAGAGAAATTTATTTAACTAGTTTAATCAAATTAATCTACTATGGAGAATAATAATAGCTCTTGATTTATCATGCTTTCAAAAATTGTTACAAAAAATTATAAAAAAGATACAAAAAATAACAACTCAAGTTTTCTAAAACAAATAATATTTTCTATCCAATTATTTAAAACTATTTCTCAATTCTTGTAAATACATTAAAAATTTCCCTAAATTCCAAGAACTCTAATAAATTTCTGTCATTGATTCTCTAAGTTTCTCATTTGGATTCCAAACTCTTCTCATTGTCTTAGCCTCTAAAGTTCAAAAGTTTTTCATAATAGAAGTGATGAGATACATATTTATAAATGTAGATCTCAAAACATGACACATTAATGAATAAATTCGTGAACTAAAACGAATAATTCTGGTACATGTGAATTGCCCAAACTAGACCGCCCACAAGTGCTACGGATACCTACCGCCATTAGGAAGAATCTGGCCAGCGACCGCACCACTAATATCAACTCTATTGTTTGGCCATCAAAGTTCCGCCAACTCTCATCTCTTTCGGCACCAGAGATTGTCTAACTGTCGCCAATATCATTTTATGGTCGTCGACTTCAAATGTGGCTTTTATACTTCCGCTCTAATCCTCCACCTACTAGCCTGTCCCATAACTCTGGTGTGTTTTGTAAATTTTTTTTGCTGCTTTTCAGCTTTCTAATTTTGAGTAATCTCAAAACATGTTTTTTTATATCACTTTAGGTTTTAAGGCATACTTCTACCATTCTCCTCCTTAACTTTAAACTATAGTGATATAAATTTACTCATCAACCATACTTTTGTTAGAATTAATTTAGATTTAATTAGATATTAATTTATATTTAGGAATATATTTTAGATTGTTTATATCTTTGTTAGAAGATATATATCTTAGATCTTCTTATATATTTGTAGAAGATATATTTTAGATTAAATTTTGTGTATAAATAGCCTAGTGGAGTATGGTATTGTAATTCATTGTAAATCCTTATTTTGAAGCTGTCAGTAAATATTTCTTTTGCCTTTTATCTTGCTTGTGCACCAACAATTGGTATCTAGAGCTCCTGGTTAGAAACTCTGGAATAGCTCCTGGTAGAAATTCTGGGATTTGGGAAGCATTGTTTTCATTGAGTTTCTACGTAAATTGCACAAGGTAGAAGATGAACAGAAATGGCGGAGATATCCATTCCAAGCTTCTAG